GGATGTAATATTTATGTTACTGACTCAAGTGAAATTATTATGCTGCAATAATCACAGAAGAATTTTGGTTTTAAAGTTTGTTTTCATGTAATATATTATTTAAAGTTGCGTTATTTGTGAAGGCCAAATAAGTTGTAGAGAACCTGTTCGGCAGCAGGTTTGGTCTACAGAGCTGTGTGTCCACTAGGCAGCCTCCCTCAGAGTCAGGTTCAGAAATAAGCTCAGAATCAAGGTGGAATAAATGCTTCCCAAAGATAGTTATCTATAATAATAGCTGAGCCTATCATACCTTTTTTGTCTGTCTGTCATCAGAGTGACTGATGAATCACCAAGTTTGTTACCTTATTCAAACAGACATTGTTTGTCTTCTGACAAGCCCAGTGAGTTTAATTAAACTAGACACTGCAGTTCTGATGAAAAACCTTAAATATGCAACACAGAGAACAAGGAAGATATTTATGGCAGTCTTTGTGGAAACCCCTGCATTTGAGTGAATCAATTTGGTAAGCTGTACCTGAACCATCTTAGCAGGTAAACTAAACCACCTGCTGCAGGGTAAGACAGGGGAGGGGAGAAAGAGAGGTAGTCCATTTTGTCTGCCTTGGAAAAAATTCTCTTCTGAGATTTGTGGAATTTGCATTCTGTGCCTTTGAGCATCATACCAGGCATACACCCACGCGGATTCTCGGAACGAGGCTGCAGCGCTAACCAACCCCAGTATCCCATCCGCAGCTGAGATCGATGTTTGATAGTTTGTAGGAAAGTGGAGTAGAAGGCACAAACAGGAGACGAATTATGCATCAGAAGAAAAAATAAATATCCCATGATCCCACAGGCAGTCACCTAAAAAAACCCAAGGTTTGAGATTTTTATTAAAATTGTCTCAGCACAGAGCTACAAACAGGAGTTGTATTGTGCAGACAGCCCTGTATTCCCAAAGATTCATTGCAGAAGGGGATGAGAAAATCTATGGAGGGAGTTAAATCCACAGATTCGAGGCCAGAAGAGATCGCAATAGCCATCCAAACTCAACCTTTTATATTTTCACCCACATGCAGACTAAACTAATTCTTGACATAAAGATCTAAAGCATATCTTTAAGAAAAAACGTCCCAGGGCTCCTGATTCTGTCATCTCCTCTGCTGAGTTCTTTCACACATCCCAACCTCCATACCTGTCATCAACTTTTCCCTAACTATATATATATATGACCTAGGTGTCTTCAAACTTTCTCTTTGTTAACCTGGATAATTTTAGCCATTCCAACCTCGCATTTTTATGTTTGCCTTCTGATCCAGAGTTACACTGACAATTTCTTAGCACACCTCTTCATTCATTTCCCATTCTTGCAGCCTGCATTCCAGGAACTGGGCATTTTACAATACTGTCAATCTCACCAGTGGTGTGAGCAGAGGGAAGATCACCCTAGGACTTCTACTTGTGATCCACTTATGCTGAAGAATTGCATCAACTCTTTTTGCTGTGATATTGCATTGAGAGCACGTAGTACAGTATTTGTCTGTATAAGCCCATAAGCTTTTCTTTCCACCACTGCTTTTCAGTTCCAGTCTTCTGTCTACAATAATGATTGGTTAACCAGGTGAGACAGATCACTTGGTAGGAGTACCCTGTCTTCCTCTTTATTTTTCTTAATGATACTATTTTTCATCCTTGTAATGTGTTTCCCGTTAATTCTGTATAATGTAAGCTTTGGAATCACAATGTCATAAAATAAATTAAATACCTTGAAGAAAACCCAATATACAGTTTCAGCATAGTTGCCTCTATCAAACATAACCCTGTCAAACTTTGTTTAACAAGATCTATGTTCCGTAAAATGCTACCAGGTATTAATTATATTGCTGCCCAGTATTTTGTAGGAAGAATCCTGGATTTATTGTGCCACTATTTTATTTGGGACTGATGTGAGGATAACTTACGTACAGACCCTTGGGTGTAGCACAGAATAATCTTATCAGTCATCCAATGCTCTAGAGTTTCCAAAGTTTTCAGAAATTTGAGAACTACTACAAATAGGAAATTTTCAATGAGTTGTTTTAGAAATTGTTTTGTGTACATCATCCAGGGCTGGTGACTGGATAACTCGTGTTCTTTATATAGGCTTCCTCACATTCTTCTTTGCTCAAGACGGAATGCTTTCTATTTTAGTGATGTCCTTAGATGGATAATGTGACTCTTCAGTGCTGCAATTTGTGCCCAGCCAAGAAGTTTTTATGTGATACTACTCTTTGTTTTAAATTAAATGAGAATTTCTTTGAAGTAGGAACTCTGCTTCTCTGAATGGCTTTGTGAAATGTTAAGGATCCTGAACGTTGTGGTGAAGACACCAAGATAATAAACAAAATAGTTTAATTGGTTGTGTAAATGGACAATGTTAAGGACTAGGTATTATTTTCTTCTGTAGACTTTTTGGCCCTAGGTAACAAAAACTTCAAAACAAATATATGTCTATGGCTCTCATTTACATTTGAGCTATCAGTGAAAAAAATCATCATTATGTTGTGTGACCATCAACTATCACATTATCCAGCCTGACAAGCTATTGATTGGAATGAGACTTCCATATAAATTAATATGATTACTTTTGAAGACTGTATTTATGCTCAACGCTTGCATGGTATTTTGATATAATCTTTTATCTGAGAATCTCCATGCATTTTGGAAGTGTTTGTTTAATATGTGAACTTCAGGAGTTAACTACTGAATCCGATATAGAGATGAAAGCCCAAGTTCAGTGAGAGGTATAATTACTGTCCAGTAAAGTCTGCCTTTTGAAGAGGTCTGACTCTCAGTTTTCTGTTCTGATCGTCTGAATAAATTTTCTTCTAACTTGAGAACAAAGGCTTTAATTTATGTCATTTGCGGTGTTTGCTGTTCCAAAAGCTGTTTCACACTGTGTGTATGACTTGAAAGAAGAGCCCTAAGACTGTGTATTTTACTTGTGGTCCTGTTAGCAATGTTAAGGGAAAGTTCTTTATTTGGGTGAAATGTTCTTGGTAGGATTAGTTAATGAGGCATGATGCTATAAATCCTGTTGGTCAAATGCAGATGGCATGTAGAAAAGTAGGTAACTGAGAAGGAGTTACATTCTGATACTGTTGTTTGCATTTGGGTAGCATATTAGTCTCACGTATGGACCGAAAATGCATTGTTCAAGCAGGGGGAATGAACATGGGTAGCTGTTGAACGG